ATTGGAGACGACGCTCCATTGTTAAGTATGGGTGCGTTGGATTCAAAGATCGTTGATCCCTTAGATTGCATGTTAAAGAATTTTAAAAAGGGATATAATGTATGTGATTTTGGGGTAAAGATGTCTCCAACACGTTTGACTACTTTATGTAGCAGGGAATGGCCTGCCTTAGTGGTTGCATGGCCTCCACGTGGTAGTATTGATCCTAATCTAGTGCAGCGTGTACACGTAGCTGTATCTGGTAGGCCGGAACTTTACGACCAGTTTCCATATATTGATTGTTGGAAACAGGCCGTGGATGACTTGCCAAAATGGATCAGGGTGTGCCAAGAGGAGCAATGCCGCCTCCTGTTGGCCAGAACTCGTTTGTCCACCAAGGCCGTGATCACGCCCATTCTGGACACGCCCCCTGAGTCAGAGATTCCTTTACCGCCCCCTTACTCCTCCTCTACAGGAAGAGGAAGAGGAGGTGCGGCTAGTAATGCCACTCCCCTTGCCCCATTGTCTCCTCCTACCCCATCCTCTAGCTCAGAGCCCAGCCCACTTGTTCTAAACCCTCCCATTCCGGTACCTACCCCCACTTTACCACTACGGATTTGTTCAACTGGAAAACCCATAACTCCTCTTACACAGACAAACCTCAAGCCATGACAGATTTGATTACCTCCATAATCCAAACGCACAATCCCACTTGGGCTGATTGCCAGCAATTGCTTATGACATTGTTTAATAACGAGGAAAGGACTCGGATTAATCAGGCAGCAATTAAAGCACTTGAAGAAGTGGCCCGTGCACAGAATCAGGCCAACTCGGTAGCATGGGCCGCAGCTCATTACCCAAACGTAGATCCGAATTGGAATGTTAATGGTGCTGATATGGCTCACCTAACAGCTTATAGGGAAGCCATTATTACTGGCATGAAAGCCGTAGGGAAAAAGGCGATCAATATGTCAAAGACGGCTGAGGTATTGCAGAAATGTGATGAGTCGCCTAGTGCCTTTTATGACCGATTATTGGAGGCATACCGATTGTATACCCCCTTTAGTCCAGAGGCGCCTGAGAATTCCCGGATGGTTAACTCTGCCTTTGTCAGCCAGGCTTACGGAGATATTAAAAGAAAATTGCAAATTGATGGGTTTGTAGGGATGTCTATAACTCAACTAATGGAAATAGCAAATAAGGTTTATATGAATAGGGAGACAGAGACGAAGAATGAAGAAGAGCGTAAGATGAGAAGGAAAGCAGATATGCTAGCGGTAGCTATCGCTGGTGTAGATAGAAGGGAAAAGGAAGTGTACAGGGGAACCGAGAAAAGCGAGAATAAGTGGAATAGGGAGCCTTTAAGTAGGAACCAATGCGCATATTGTAGGGAAGAAGGGCATTGGAGGAGTGAGTGTCCATTGAGGGAACAACATGAGAGAGATAGAACAAGGGGAGGATATAGTAATAACTATAGAGGTAGAGTGAGAGGAAGAGGAGGCCCTGGAGGAAATGGTGGGAATAGTAGAGGAAGCGTTCAAGGGGATAGGTATTACCCAGCAGCGCAGAGACCGTGAGAAAGAGAAGATAGGGACTTTGTGGGTTTGGCTGACACTGTCATGGAGGAATATTGATACCGACCGGGCTCCATCCCCCTTGGTCGAGCGGAGCCTATGGTCGATGTAGCAATAGGGGGAAAAAATAGTTATTTCATGATCGACACTGGTGCTGAACATTCTGTGGTAACCGACCTAGTTGCTCCTCCTTCAGGAAGAACTATCACTGTAATAGGAGCAACTGGGAGGAGTGCTGCTAAACCGGTTCTCAAAAGTTGACTCTGTACACTGGGAGGCCACGTAGTGAAACATCAGTTCCTTTACATCAGTTCCTGAATGTTCCTGAATGTTCAGTTCCTGAATGTCCAGTCCAACTTCTAGGACGGGATTTGTTGTTGAAGTTACAAGCACAGATAACATTTCTGCCTAACGGAATGACATCCTTGAAGTTTAATGGACCCTCAGGTATAATGACACTATCAGTACCAAAGGAAGAAGAGTGGCGACTTTATACAGTGATGACAAGTCAAAACCCTAAGAGTGATGAATCCTTGTATAATATACCAGGAGTGTGGGCAGAAAATAACCCACCAGGACTTGCTTGCAATATCCCACCTATACGCATCGAACTAAAGCTTGGAGTTTATCCAGTAAGCCTGCGACAATACCATATACCTCAAAAGGCGAAGAAGAACATACAGTCTTATTTGGATAAGTTCATAAGGTATGGTATCCTAAATTTCTGTACTTCCCCCTGGAATACTCCATTGTTGCCTGTTCAGAAGCCTGGGTCAGATGAGTATCGTCCTGTGCAGGATTTGAGAGCAGTCAATGATGCAGTAGTAAGTATACATCCAGTTGTGCCCAATCCTTATAACCTGCTTGCCTTGATTCCAGGTGGGGCTACTTACTTTACAGTCTTGCACCTTAAAGATGCCTTCTTTTGCCTACGAATTGCTACAGAAAGCCAGTGTATCTTTGCATTCCAATGGGAAGATGCTGTAACGGGCTCGAAACGTCAGATGACCTGGACAAGATTGCCCCAAGGGTTTAAAAATTCACCTACCCTATTTGGATCAGCATTAAGTCAGGACTTATTAGATTTCAAGTCCATCCCAGGAGAATGTGTACTACTACAATACGTGGATGATTTGTTGATAGCGGCAGTTACTAAAGAGATATGCCAGCAAGCAACTTATGATTTACTGCACATTCTTTGGAAGGCAGGATACAAGGTGTCCAGGAAGAAAGCTCAGTTGTGTCAGCCAACTGTCAAGTATCTGGGATTCCATATCTCTGAAGGTCAAAGGATAATGGGGCCTGAAAGAAAAGAGGCTGTATGCCAAATACCAACACCTAAGAATAGAAGACAAGTGCGAGAATTCTTAGGGGCAGCAGGCTTCTGTAGAATATGGATTCCCAGTTATGCGATACTGGCGAAACCCCTCTATGCCGCTATTAAAGGCACGGAACATGATTCCTTCCTGTGGACCATCGAACAGCAGAAGGCATTTGAGGATGTTAAGAAGGCATTGATGAGCGCCCCCGCATTAGGTCTACCTCATCGTACACGTCCATTCTACTTATATGTACACGAGCAAAGAAGGATGGCTGTGGGAGTACTGACACAGAATCTGGGATCATGGCAACGACCTGTTGCGTATATGTCCAAACAACTGGATGCAGTAGCCAGTGGTCTTCCTCCTTGTCTAAGGGCCGTAGCTGCCGCCGCCCTGTTGGTAGCAGAAGCTGACAAGCTCACTCTGGGTCAGGAACTCTATGTGCGAGTCCCGCACGCAGTACAGACGTTGCTAGACTATAAAGGTAATCATTGGTTTAGCAATAGCCGCATGACTAAGTATCAAGCCATGTTATGCGAGAACCCGAGAGTGCATCTTGAGACTGTTAATACCTTGAACCCAGCTACCCTCTTGCCGCAACCTACTGAGAGTCGACATGATTGCCTGGAGGTAATGGATGAAGTGTTCTCAAGTAGACCGGACCTTCATGATTTTCCCATCCAGAACCCCGATGTTCAGTATTACACGGACGGCAGTAGTTACTTGAAAGAAGGGATTCGCTATGCCGGGTATGCAGTGACAACTATAGACAAGGTGATAGAAGCGTGGCCATTGTCAAAAGGAACATCAGCACAGAAGGCAGAATTAATCGCACTTACACGGGCTTTGCAATTGGCTGAAGGGTTGAAAGTAAATATCTACACAGACTCAAAGTACGCGTTTTTAACCACTCATGCCCATGGAGCTTTGTATAAAGAAAGAGGATTACTGACCTCAGAAGGAAAATAAATCAAGTACGCAGCTGAGATATTACAACTATTGGAAGCTGTATGGGAGCCGAAGGAAGTTGGTATCATACATTGTTGAGCACATCTGAAAGGTGATGGTGATGTGGTGAAAGGAAATCGGATGGCAGATAGTGCAGCTAAGCGTGCCGCTGAATCCGGACAAAAAGAATATGTGGAGTGTGTAGCAGCTCTTATACCGACCCCTCTGTCCCAGTGGACTCCAGTTTATACAGCTCAAGAAGTAGAGTGGTTAAAGACTGAAGCTGGGAAATATTTGGAGAATAATTGGTATCAGTTAGAAGATGGAAGAATAGTTATTCCAGCATCGCTAGCTGTAGAAATTGTCCAGAATTATCATAATGGGACACATTCTGGAAGAGATAGTATGGAAGAATCTCTTAGGAAGCATTTCTACATACCAAGATTGTCCAACTTGATTCAAGCCATTGTTCGAAGATGCGTGTCATGTCCCAAGAACAATGCAAGGCAAGGTCCAGTGAAACCACCGGGAGTCCAGTACATGGGAGGGCTTCCTATGTCCGATCTCCAAATAGACTACACGGTAATACCCAAATCCGGCGGACATCGTTACCTACTAGTAGCTGTGTGTACCTACTCAGGATGGGTAGAGGCATGTCCAACTCGTACAGAGAAAGCAGGAGAAGTTGTGCGATTTCTGTTGCGAGAAATAATACCCCGATATGGACTACCGTGTTCTATAGGATCAGATAATGGTCCAGCTTTTGTCCATCAGTGCCTACAACAACTGACTCATATGCTTGGTATTAAGTGGAAACTTCATACAGCATATAGGCCTCAGAGTTCTGGGAAAGTGGAAAGGATGAACAGAACCATTAAGACCCAGTTGGCAAAAATGTGTCAAGAAACCCAACTCAAGTGGAATGTTCTTTTGCCAATAGCTCTGTTGCCCATTCGTAGTACACCTACCAGAAAGTTAGGTCTATCACCCTTTGAAATTATGTATGGGCGTCCACCTCCCATACTTAGTAACTTAAGGGCGGACTTGAGTCAGTTGGGAGAAGGAATTACCTGGCGGCAGGTTGTAGAGTTGGGTAAAACTATGGAGGAGGTACAGAAATGGGTACAAGATAGGTTACCTGTAAATACTTATCCACCTGTCCATTCTTACCATCCAGGAGACCAAGTTTGGATAAAGGAGTGGAACAGTGTACCGTTGGGGCCAAAGTGGAGGGGTCCTTATGCTGTTCTTTTGTCTACTCCAACAGCTATAAAGGTGGCAGAGGTGACTCCGTGGATTCATCACTCCAGGGTTAAACCAGCAGCAGATTCTTGCAAGCTACTCAAGATCCTGAGAATCCCTCCAAGATCCGGTTGAAGCGAGTGACCCAGTTAGATTAAAAGTGTTTTTTGCGAAGAGTATTGTTACAAGGGAACATCAACAAAGATCTACAAGTAGGTGTTTTGACGGCCACAATAAAGCCTGACCACCTACCAACGTTTAAGCCAGAGGAATCCTCTGTGAAGAACAGTGAGGATCAGAAGTACTCCATTCCCTGCAGCCCTCACACGCCTGGAAGCTGAGGTGCCGTCGCACGGTCGAAGAATTAGGAAGAAGATGTCAGGAGTAATGTGTTTGATGATGTATATATGTGTGTTTTTAATTATTCAGGAAGGTAGAGGTACCGACACACCAGGCTGCGAGGTTTGCATTAAGACTACGAAAACAGGCAATCGTATTTCCCAGACCCTTATTTGGCATTCGCAATATGAGTGCACAGGACATGTATCAAAGTGTAGATACCTAGGTACAGATTATAGTGTATGCCATATAGGAGCAGGAGAACCTAGGTGTTTTAATCCTGAGTATCAGCCCCGTACAATTTGGTTGACTATTCGGAATGAGAACTCACGGGGAACCTGATAAATAAGACTGTACTAGAAAGTGTACATTCTCCAGGTGTTTTGCTATTTGATGCATGTAAGGCGATATCAGGTAGTAGGAAGCCATGGAATGTATGTGGTGGTCTTAAATGGGAAAGAACGTATGGGTCTAATGATAAGTATATTTGTCCTAGTAATAAGCATAAGTATATAGATCCAAACTGCCTAAATAAAGACTACAATTATTGTCCGTATTGGTCCTGTGTGGGATGGGCAACCTGGGGACAGACAGTAGATAAGGATATGATTATCACTAGATTGCCTACCAAGCCATACTAATATGGGAGACCAATGGCCTTGGGAATTAAAGGAGGTAATGTATTCTGGTTCTGAGACAGTTGAACAACTAATATCTTCTCAATCTGATTATCAAGTGAGTGTTAGAGGTAAATCTCAGTGGCGATTAAAGACCTCCATTAAAGGTTATGTTTGTATAGCAAGGAAAGGAATAATGTTTAATACATCTGTAGGAGAATTGACTTGTTTAGGGCAGAAAGCCTATAATGACGATACAAAGGATACTATTTGGTGGTCAGCTTCAAATGTCTCAGAACCGTCTAATCTGTTTGCAAATTATACCAATTTAAAGGATGTATGGTTTGACCTATCTGCTACATCTAGTTGGAAAGCCCCAGCAAATTTGTACTGGATTTGTGGTAAGAAAGCATATTCGGAGTTACCACAGGACTGGGAAGGGGCATGTGTATTGGGTATGCTCAAACCATCCTTCTTCTTGTTGCCAATTGAAACAGGAGAGACTTTGGGAGTTAAAGTATATGATGTAAATCATAGGAAGAAAAGGGCACCCCTAGAGATAGGTACCTGGGAAGATGATGAGTGGCCTCCCCAGCGTATTATAGATTATTATGGGCCAGCTATGTGGGCAGAGGATGGTACTTATGGATACAGAACCCCAATATATATGCTTAATCGTATTATAAGATTGCAAGCAGTAGTTGAGATAGTTACCAATGAAACATCACAAGCGCTCAATCTCCTAGCGAAGCATAACACTAGGATGAGGACAGCCATCTACCAGAATAGATTAGTTTTGGATTACCTATTGGCAGTAGAGGGAGTTGTATGTGGGAAGTTTAATCTAAGCAATTGTTGTCTTCAAATAGATGATGAAGGGCAAGCAATAGCTGAGCTTACTAGCCATATGGTTAAGCTAGCACATGTACCTACTCAGGTATGGAAAGGGTATAATCCAAGTAGTTGGTTTGGTAGTTGGTATGAGCAGTTTGGAGGAATCAAGGCATTGGTAGGTGGAGTCATACTGATTTTGATGTTGTGTCTCCTTCTGCCATGTCTGATTCCTTTGGTAATTAGATCTATGCAGAGCATTATAGAAAGTATAGCAGAAAGAAAGGCCGCAGCACAGGTAATGGCTGTTTGCAGGTATGAAGCTCTAGATCAAGGAGAATACATGCAGGAAGAGGAATGTTGAGGGGTTCGTATCTTTAGAGGATTGCAAAGTCTAGTCTGGTTTATGGCAACTTGAGGTGTAAGCAAACTATGATTAATGATGCATCTGGAATTATTTTAAATCAGAAGCATCAAAGGGGGGAATGTGATGGAATTCCAGTAAAATACAAGTTTAGCAGGCCAAGATTGCCACAAGGCATATGTAGGTACATGTGTTTGTAGTATCAGTTAGTTACACGTAGCTAAGATACTGTCATCACTGTACTGAGCATGTGCAGGAATGCAGGAACTGGAATTACGCGTTCCTCTCCTTTGTTTCAGATGAGCCACGTGGTTAGACCGGATGGATGAGTTTAGACTCTATTAATTGATTAGGTTAAGGGTATGTGTGGGCGTAGCTAATGATGGGAGGAGCTACAGTGCTATATAAGGAATGTACTCTATGTATTCAGTACTCAGATCTTTGCTATTTTTGGTGACATAAGTCCCTCTGAGTCCCGGTCGGTGAATCGAATAAAGATCTCTTCCTTTCTGAAGAAACCTGTGTCCATCTCTCTGTGCTTGGCCTCAGTCAGTTTCCCGGTAACATGACTTCTTGAGTGGTATGTATGTGCAGTGTTTCAGTGCTTGAAACATTGCAGATACGGAGCTAGTTGCACCCCCACCACATGCGACATTGGCAGTCTAGAATTCTGCCAGAGGCAATTCTGTGCTTATTTTACATCTGTCTTTGGTGCGCACTGCATGTTGACAGCAAACATAAAAATCTACCCTTACAGGTGCTCTGCTAGCTAACTCTTCCCTCCCTGTGGGCACTCCCTCCCACAGAGCAAGAAGTTGGAGAAATCATCCCTCCCTCCTCCTCTTTACTCCCCCCCCCATTGTCCTGCAGCGCGCAAATGCCCTCTCAATGGCTTCTCTATAAGAGGCCTGTGATTTGACCGCCTAAGTGCTGGCTGACGTCACAGCATGATGTGGAAGATCAAAGCCAGGAGCTTCGCAATTACAGCATGATGTGGAAGATCAAAGCCAGGAGCTTCGCAATTTTTCCAGCTTTAATGGGGGAGGGGATTTTATTGGTATGCCCCCTAGTGATACCGGTGAAACTGACGGAAGCAAAGCACAGAGAGATGGACACAGGTTTCTTCAGGAAGGAAGAGATTCTTTAGAACCCCAGACAGAAATGGGATACGGCTGTACAATCTATAGAGGGAACATATAAAGGAAAAAACACAATAGTGTGATACAGTAAATACAGTGAATAGTGCGCTTAAATGGATGCACTCACAAGATGATGAAGATGAAAAAGCATTCATAGGGTGCCTCCCCATATAGCATAGGGGGCTAGTGGTTTCCCCTATCCGATGTAAAGCGACCAATGGAACACGGGACTCCAGGTAAGTAATAGTAGAAAAGCAATACTTTTATTTTCTTAAAAGGTGAACAAGCACCATAAGAATAAAGGTTTAAAAGTGCAGCAATAGGTCCAACGCGTTTCGTTCAAGACTAGAACTTCATCAGGGACCGCACAGTAAAAAAATCACAGACAATATCATAGATTCTAAAATAACATCCTACTTTCCCCTTAACAGAATCTCTATATATAGGGCTAGTCCCAAAGTCCCATTGGTCCATAGTGTAGGAGTATCCAGTAGCCAGCCAATCATCTATCCAGGGGTATTGTCCTCCAGCTGATAGTGTTTGGGTAGTTTAAAAAGGGCGCGTTCAATGTAAAAGCCGAAGCCGGAAGTGGATGTCTGCCTTCACTTCCGCGTTCCATTTGCGTTCCATATGCGTTCCAAACACGCTCCAAGTGCGTTCCAAATACATTTACTGCTCTTTTTCAACTAGAACAGCGAGGAGCCATCAATATAAGTGATCATCAAAAGGACAAAGCCCAAAAGTGTTAAATGCATTAAATGTAATTAATCTCTAAAAGAAGAAAAGTGAATTAGTGCATGTAATATACAACAACCATGTTAAGATAGTTCATATGGAACTTCCCCACATATTATATATATGACAATATCATACACCATTAAATAGTGCCATGTATGTCTATTTAAAGTGACAAACATCTCATTATTCAAAAAATAAGAACACAAATAATATATTCCTAAACAAAGTACCCTCAATATCAATAATAATCATTTTAAACCATATAACCTGCAAGGTACACCTAACTATATAATATAAAGATTTTTTATTTTTATTTTTTTATTTTTTTTAATTATATTTTATTATATAAATTATGAATTGTATTGATTAAAGACACTTCTTTTTCCCTATATTTAGACTGCCAGAGCTCCTCATATTCCCAAAGATACTTATGGAATAATTTACATAAAGGAGAAGAATAACCAAAAAAATCAGTCCAAGAAACACACCAGATCGATCCCAATATTCAGGCCCCTAGGTTCAAGGGTCTTTAGTTTGTGTATCCAAAAGGTTTCCCTTTGGGATAACTTTTTGATCCTATCACCTCCCCGCCAGTAGGGAAGGACATGTTCAATACCCATACACTTGAAATCTCTAAAGGAGAAGGAAGGACAATTACTGCAATGGGCAGAGACTGAATGAGTAACCAGTCCTTTACGTATATTATTTAGGTGTTCCAAGATCCTGACCTTCAGGATACGTTTCTTCCTTTATATGTTCCCTCTATAGATTGTACAGCCGTATCCCATTTCTGTCTGGGGTTCTATGCAAAGAGTAGTTTAACCTGTGATTTAGCATAACGTGCCAGAGCAAAGTTTTTCACAATACTTTGGTTGTGATATACTCTGGGTGAACTCTACAGACCTTTTTATATTTTAATTTGGGAATTATTTATTATGTATAGTTATCTGGCCATAAATAAATTAATCTTAGAACCAGATTTAAGTTGTGACTGCCTACACTCACCCATTCCCCAACTAACATATTTTAATTGTTAGTTTTCTCTGTCGATGTGATCCTTATAAGTCATATTCCCAAATACAGTAGAGCATTACGTAGAATACATTATGTAAATGTCCTGGATTTCATTCTGTGAAATATTATAAGCCATAAAACATTCTTCAATTTATCTGATTTCCCACCACTGCAGCTATTTTACACTTTGGTTGTAAATTCAGTATTTAGTGAATAAGGCCTTATGTGCGCTTGGATGTATAATTTGCCCCTCTTTCATGGTATGCGCTTCAGCTATTGTCTGTGCAGAATGATGTGGCACTTGCCATTCAAGGAAGGATTTGCTGCACACGCTTTGCCTGTTTCTGCGCTGCTTGCTAATTGTGTTTGGTAGTGGCTTTGATATCATGCCAATGAGAATTTTTTCACATAACTTCAGTGTGCTTATAAATGCCCACTGCTAAAGGTCTGCTGTGTGAGAGCAATTCAAATTGTCTGAATACTGTTTGAGACCCAGTTGTGGAAATTTCCTTTGTCCTGGAAAACATGGTGGATCAAATGCCAGTGCATATTTCACTAAATCTCATTATCTTGTGGTGGGTTTTACCATTTTTATTTTATTTTTTAAGAATTTAAATTTGGCAGAATCTTTCATGCTTTTTCATTTGTTAAAGTGATGTAAACTTAACCAATTTTTTTTTTTTTTTTTTTAAACATTTATCTCCCCTCCCCAAATGTATGATCAATTTTAACTCCTTTTAGTGATCAGTTACAGTCTACTCTATTACAATATAACAATATTTTTTATTATTTTTTTAAATTAATTAAAAAAATTTTAAGACTCTACACATTTTAAATGTCCCGTCAAGTTAGTGATATTAAAGCTGTATAAAGCTGGCAAACTATATTTTTCCAGTTCGATCTCAATCCAAGTATACAAAGAGAACAGAAATATTGTGTTCTCTACTAATCCGTACGGTACACATTTACTCAGCAGTTTCTTAGTAGCACTGTGTGGCAATAAAGTGTAAGCTTGTGTGCTATCGTCATGCACTAATGTATATTCAGACTCCAGCATTTACAGATTGCAATGCTGACTGTCCTGGTCTTTAATGGGTTAAATCTAGGTGAAGTTTAATTAAGGCATTGTGACACCGAGGTCCATTTTATCTTTCTTATAACTTTTTTTTTTTTTTTTTCCTTCTCTCTTATAGTTTCTCATAGCCAGATAACACGTCTGTATAGTCGTTTCACCAGTCTTGATAAAGGAGAAAATGGGACATTAAGGTATGTTTTAAAACCATTGTATAATCTAATAGCCAAGTCTTTACTGTAATACATTTAAAAAATTTTTTTTTTAAAAATTCAGTTGATAATTATTTTAATCCTGCACACATCATGCTGCCACATATGATCTATGATGTGTATAATTTATTTTTGGGTTGGGTGGTATCAAGATTAAATGAACAATCCAAGCACCATAACCACTACATAACATATCGTGGTTATGGTATCAGGAGTCCTCTGACTCCTCCTTTCCAGTGTAAGTAGTCAAAACATTTGACTACAACGACTTCTTAAATGGGGTCGACGGGTACCATTCCCTGCCTCACAGCATTGTACAGAAAAGACAGAAGCTCCTGCTAGAGCAACCTTGGCAAATGTGCTAAACCTGGGATTAACTCAGAAAACTTCCTGCTCCCCTGGACACTGCAGATAGGTAGCGAATGGAGGTGGACCCCAGGTAAGAAATCCCACCGTTCTAAAATGGTTTGCCTACTTACATTGGGGGTGCCAGGGCACTGCTGGTACTTTAACTATGTAGTGGTTATGGTGTTTAAAGTGTTTTCTGAATCTGTTTTGTTAAATTGAATCTGGCGCTTATAAATCCTAACAAACATACAGCATGGCACACTGGGAATCACAGAATTTCCAATGTGCAGGTTCACGCTTGGAATGGGTTATTGGGAGGGGGCAGCTGCTTTCCCATAGCTCATACCACCCTAAGAGGCTATTGGCTTAGCTGTAATATCTAGAGTGGATTAAAAATAAATAAATAAGGCATAACTCTTCATCTAGACATTTATACATTCTTTAAAGTGACATCAAGTCTTGTTTGGCATGACAGAAGCACTTAAAGGAACACTATAGTCACCAGAACAAGTACTGATTAATGTAGTTGTTCTGACAAGTATAGTCAGTCCCTGCACACGTTTTAATCTAAAGACTGCCTTGTCAGGGAGAAGGCCGTGCTTACATTGCTGCCTAGGAATACCTCTAGTGACAGTCACTCAGGTGGCCACTAGAGGTGCTTCTTGGGTCATGTGCAGCACTAACATTCTGCCTCTCCATGCCCTTCATGGAGACGCTGAATGCTCTTCATAGAGATGCATTGATATATGATTAAGGAGACACTTATTGGCGTCTTGCTGCGCATGCGCAGTAGCCTCCCACTGCTTTACTGTGGGAAAGTATTAGAATGGCTGAGATCATCAAGTTTGATCTCCGCTAAGGAGGTGGAGCAGAGGCAGAGCCAGCCGCGACAAGACCCACACAGCGCTGGAAGCAAGGTGGGTAAACCCGCCATTTAATTTTCTGACAAGATGGCCGTCTCTGACACTGTTTGTGTGTTTTTTGGTTTTTTTTTTGTAGTAAAGATTAGAGTAAAAGATGTAGGCACACACATTCACTGTATTCATTGAACATTTAGCAGTTTTTCAAACCTGTAAGAGGCCATTACAGACCAACCAATACTGTCTTTTGCTTTCACTGGTTTCCATGGTGATTGCCTCACTTGTGGAACTCTGTCCCACTTTTCACAACTCAGAACACTGAAAAATCTCCCCCATTTTCCCCGTGTTAACCTTCTTCCTTTATTGGACTGTGTTGTATTTTATTCATGTTGTGTACTGTACAATGTTTCTTAACTTTCGCATTGTTTAAAATTGAAGAAAGTATGTAAGTCTGATGGAATTTTAATTTAATTAAGCTGGATAATTTCGGACGTATTTCTTTAGTTAAAAAATATATATATTACAATATCCCAGTGAGTAATGCCAATAGTGGTAGATACTCTAACACCTTAGTGGGTTTTCCCTTTAATCCCACAGCAAACAGTTCTCAAGCAATAGGATGTCCTCACAATATTCAGTGTAGATATAAAGTGCTTTATTGAAAAGTGCACAATAGATATAAATAGATAAAAATAAATAAACCTTACAATTTCAAAGGTAAGTCCTTGGGTAAAGTCTTTTTAAGTGCAAAACTCATTTTGTCTCATTCAGAGGCTTCCTCAGTTGCTGGTGTCAATAAAGCACTTTATAGCTACACTGAATATTGTGAGGACATCCTATTGCTTGAGACCTCCTATCAGTTCAAAGAAGGGAGTGGGTCCCTCTAAAACCCACCAAGCTGGAACCCTGAGCCTAATATAATGGCTCTTTGTGAGTGTTGTTCCACCTACTACTTCACTTTACCATTTAAAATTGGCTATATTGCACTATTTTATTTGTCTGCTTATGTTTTAACCCTAGGAAAAACGATCCAGGAATATTTTAACTCCAAAAGACAGATACTCCACCTTGTAGTGTATGTATATTTCTGTTTACTGTGGGGTTAACCCACTAAGGTGTTAGAGTATCTACCACTATTGGCATTACTCACTTGGATATTGTAATACATATATTTTTGACCTAAAGAAGTACGTCCAAAATTATCCAGCTTAATTGAATGAAAATTCCATCAGACTTACATACTTTCTTCAATTTTAAACAATGCGAAAATTAAGAAACATTGTACAGTACACAACATGAATAAAATACAACACAGTCCAATAAAGGAAGAAGGTTAACACGGGGAAAATGGGGGAGATTTTTCAGTGTTCTGAGTTGTGAAAAGTGGGACAGAGTTCCACAAGTGAGGCAATCACCATGGAAACCAGTGAAAGCAAAAGACAGTATTGGTTGGTCTGTAATTGCCTCTTACAGGTTTGAAAAACTGCTAAAGGTTCAATGAATACAGTGAATGTGTGTGCCTACATCTTTTACTCTAATCTTTACGACATTATCAAAACTGAAAAAACAAACCAAAAAATAACACTTCGTGTCAGACGGCCCACTTGTCAGAAAACTAAATGGCAGGTTTACCCACCTTGCTTCCAAGCTGGAAACCTGAGCCTAATATAGTGGCTCTTTGTTTGTGAGTGTTGTTCCACCTACTACTGCACTTTACCATTTAAAATTGGCTATATTGCACTATTTTATTTGTCTGCTTATGTTTTAACCCTAGGAAAAATGATCCAGGAATATTTTAACTCCAAAAGACAGATACTCTACCTTGTATTGTATGTGTACTTCTTTAGTTCGTTCTCCAGAGAGTCTCTGTGTTAAATTTTCAAGGTCACCCAGTGTGTATTTTATTTTTTCAGTTGGTAGTCAACGTCCACAAAGCTCTGCTCGTAAAATGTTCCAGAAGTGTTGTATTTACTCATATGGTCGTTAATTTGCCTTTCCTCCAGTTTCAGTCTTGTTTGTAGTTAAATATTAAATAATATAACACCTTTTTATATGATGATCCTCTTCCCATGTGATCAACCAAAGTTTTGTTGGTATGCCTTCTGACATTAAAAATGTGACAATGGCAGTGGTAGGGCGCCTCATTTTTCACATATCTCTGCGGATATTTTTTAAAAAGGGCCTCAGTCAGAACGTTAATGGTTTGTATGCTGTGCGCATTGCGGAAGCACTCTTGAAGATATGCCCTGCCCTAGCATCATACTGTTCTGAGTTCATTTTTTATGACACACTGTGCTGTTTCAAGACTTTTCTGTGGGGGTCCCAAGCTGTGACTCTAACACCAAATGTAGGAATGATCGATGACAGAAGAATCTGAAATAATGTATATAGAAAGAGAATGCATATCTATCGGGATCTCTCCAATGGACAGTTTTCTAGAGTATGGCCAAAACCAACATTCGATTTGACATGACCTCCTAGAAATCTCACTTTTGATGTGTGGTCCCAATTCATTGAGTGAAAGGAATGGAATTCCCAGCTGAAATCGTGGAGAGATCCCAGTATTTCTGCTAGTAGTAGGTTGTGGTTATTTAAATAGACAGGGTATATCAAATTGAATTTGAGAATGTTGAATATACTAGCATTTAATAGATGATGGGACTGAAAAGCGTTAAAAATAAGAACAGTAAGGTTTGTTTTATCTTGTGTTAGCCAGGGGCGAATGTGAACTATATTGAAATGTTGATGGAAACTTCAATGCCAGGGGTAGAGAGCTTATGGGGTAGGGCTGATTGATGCATAACTGACCACAATTGAGGCTAACAAAGACGAGTTGCTTGACGTGGGAAAGAAAAGATAAAACCTGTAGATAGTCAAGTTAAAAAAAAACAAACAAAAAGAAACCAGACCGGCTTTTAAATAGGGGAGGCACTTGGTGATCTGATCAAGAGAGGGAAACAGTACTGATTGTCTCATAGTAAATAGATAAGTCCAAAAGCTGTGAAGCCACCAACCTCTTGCAAATATTGTTTTTTCACACACAGTGTAATAGTGTACTACATTTATTTCAAACCGATACCGAGCACATTTGTCATTTGGGGGCAGTTTAGCCAGCCTCCTACAAAATTTTTAAAGGAGGTGTAACTGGTATTTCATGAGTAGGAAGGGACTACTCTTTAACACGAGTATTGTTCATGTGTATTTGTGTGTGTATACCTTTTAAGGTGATGGTGTTTGTTCTTGTTTAACTAACATAGTTCCAAGAAGGAGGTGAGCTTATATTGGTCCTCAAATGGTGTAGTCATGTAAACAGTAGATCGGCATGGATAATATTATTGAAGAATTAGTTCTCAAGCTAGTGCCATATAATTTGAGTCCCTCTCATCCGATTTAAGTGCCTATTTTACATGACTGACTTTATTTCACGTGTTAATTATTAACTTGGAATACTTACAAGTAATTACTCCACAGTACAACTTAATTACATTATCAAACATTCAGACGTGGATACAATGTGGAAAAAGAAATTCTGTTAATGTGTAGTATGTTATTTTAAATAGTTGCCAGAGTACCAGAGCATCTTTGTGTAATTGTAAAATTGATGCAGAGAGAACCATGCACCCACTCCCAGTTTTGTAGATGGCCTATAACTGCAATGATATGTAAAAATACCCTCCCCCCCCAGAGTTGTCAGTCATGCAGCTGAAATTCAGACTTCCTAGCTGCTTTATTTGGCGCAGCCCTTCCATATCTTTTTGTTCCTAGCTGCCTGTGTCTATTTTTCTCCAGGTTGTGCAAGCGATTTCTTTTGTTTGGGGACATTTATTTTATATTGGTTTTACCTTAAACGCTTGTACTTCTATTGATTACACTAGAATTTTAACTAATTCAGGTTGATTCCCCAGCTTGGCTTTGTCCCCTTACATTTTGACATTCAGCTTTCAGGTCTCTATAAATCAGTTCAGTTAATAAACCCCTAAATGTTGTATGGGTTTTTTTGTTTTTTTTCCTACTACAACTCTTTGTAATGCACACCCCATATAGTACTGCTTACAAAATGAGAATTATTGCGTGAAGCTGTATTGATGCATTATTGTACATTTAATGCTTGGCATGTCTTTGATTAATGCTGTAAAATCTGTTTTACATTGCTTAACGTTCTGCAAAGCAGCATATCTCTCTATATACATGGAAAACCTTCTGGTGCCTGTTACTACCATCAACTAACATGTTCCTTTAATAATAATGATGGTGGGTGCCAGCAGCCAGTCTTGTACAGCAATACAAAGTGAAGTGGGCCTGAGACCCAATGAATTATGTTGCTATAGGGGCCATAACAAGAAATACCTGACCATTAATTATATTGAGACATCCCTCACTAAGCAATCAGGTGCTTAGGTGGACAATCAAAATCAAACAAATGTCCATTGCAACGCCATACTGCTTCAATGAGTTAGAAACCTGTTTTTTAATTAATTTGTTGATAATTAAAGTGAACTGGATTTACCATATAAATTTGAATATTACTTGACATTTCGGTGTGGAACTGGCCATATTGATTTAGGCTGACTCAAATAGAGAAGGTTCTTGCTGACGTATGATTTGTCTATTAAAGACAGATTGTTAACTCCAAAATATGTAGATGACCAGTTCACTTTCAGGCAGATATAGAAAATATTCCTATGTGTATATATAAAGGATGGTGAACTTTTCAGAAAATCTTTACATTTATTTATTTTTTAAATCATGACCGCTTCTGCCAAATTAACTGCCGGGTAGACCACTTTGGACCTCCAGGTGTTGTGCACTACATCTCCCATAAGGCTCTTAGTTATAATGCTTTCAAAGAATCAGGGAAGATCTAATCCACAAAGTCCACAACATCTTGAGTACTGCAATTTGCCTACCCTTGGCATAGAGCATACACTTTATATAATTGCACATGGCAAATTTCCTAACCCACACCCCTCCTATCTACCCATACAACTGTTCCCTTGACGTAGAGGTAAAAAACTTTTTTGTTTTAGTGATCGCTTGGTATTCTAGTATTCTGTGATAATGAAGGACTACAGACTCCAAACCGTTTGTTATTCAATCTTGAAGAAAGAAGATGTAGGTTTTATATTGCTGGCTTACTTGGCAGTATCTATATATGAAAAATGTATCTACCTGCAGGGACAGTGTCCACTTGCTTTGCACTTTATTTTTTTATTTTTATTTTTTGCAGTGCGTTTGGGAATATACAATCGTAAATGGAGATTTTAACAGGAACAATAATGTTGTGAACAAGTGTAACATAAAATACTACACTCTTTAAAAAAAAAAAAAAGTATAACTTGAAGAATGAGCGTAATGAGTCAGGGCAGGTCCTGATAGGAGTTATCGGAGGTTGGAGACTAACTGCACTGACTACACAAGGATAATTCGGAACTAATAGTATGTTAAAGCTTGATGTTAAGCTAAGCTGGACTAAGGAAAGACATATGTAGCTTTAGAACCACTGGGTATGCATCACTATGAGGAGGTAAAGGGGAAGAAGCATAGAAAACTCTGCCACAGTAATAAGAGTCACCAAATGTAAGTGGGATCTCCAGGATTCATCTGACACCACAGGTATGCTACGGGAGACAGTCCACAGTTATGGGGGTGCGTTGCCTTTAATTGCCCTCTTGTAGAGCCAGGCGTCATGTTGGAGCTTGTAAGCAGTGGAGGGTTTGCCCCGCACCAGTTTTATAGGGGAATGTGCTGTGTTAGAGGATAATACAGGCTATGAACCTGTAGAGCCAGCCTGTAATGAAAGATTAACATATAAAGCAGGCTGCACACACCGACTATATGGTGGGTCACTTGCATTTGGTACACCAGAAGTATGCAATGGGGTTAATTGAGAGCACAGTAACATCTGTCTCGTGATAAATGGTCGGCATTGGTTAAACTGGTTATGCTAACCGCTAGTACTGTCATTATAAAACAATTGTTTAGGTTCTGGCATAAAAAAGACAGGAGGTATGAACATAAATACTAGTTTAGACGGTTAGTGTCTTCGTCTTATAGGCTTATGAGAGTCCCACAACGGTGAGCCATCTGCTGCAGAAATCAGTGTGGCCAACAGTGCCCATCTTGATGCTGCACATGGGTATTTGTCAGCGGTTAGCTGATTCCCTTGCTGATGCTCTGCATGTTTCTTCCTGGCCGATCTGCGAGGATATCAGAGCGATGTGATTGAGGGGAGACATCCCTGCAGGCCTTCGCTAAAGTCGGCATCTTTAGGCCACTGTCTCAGAGGCTCAGTAAGTCCCGGACCTTCTCCCTTCTGGGGGGAACAGGAGGCAGTTGGATGGTTGGAAACCGCGAGGTTGGCCGCCCCTCAAGGCCTCGACTTCCAGGTAGGCCTCGGTCGTGTCACCGGTTCTGCAACCGCTAAAATGTCGGTGCCATTGTTGGCAGTGGTGGTCCCACTCTTAGTAATGTAGTTCAGGCTTAGTGAAGACCGATGTAAATATTGTAAATAAGTTTTAAATCATCGATGCTGCATGGAGATCCAACTGTGTGCGACCGTTCAGCTCAGCAGCCCGGCCCTGCCCTGTCAATTCTTTCTTTAACCCCTTAAGGATACAACATGTGTGACATGACATGATTCCCTTTTTATTCCAGAAGTTTTGGTCCTTAAGGGGTTAAAGAGCGATTCTAACACTTTAGATGGACAGTTCATTGCATGAATAACCAAATATCAATCAATACCCACAAAACGAAAAGAGTGCGAGTAAAAACATTGTCATATTAAAGATTTTAAAATAAATTGGACTGGCGACCTGGAAGACATTCGGAAGATTAAGTGGTACCCCTAATCAGTTAATTGACATTAGCATTTAAAAAGTAGATAAAAACAAGATGGTGATTTAATATCATCTTCACATAATAACAAACTAAAATCTGTAAATTATGAACCCCCAGTAGTAGGGACTAGGTGTAGGGACATAAAAGCTAGGTTGGATAAAATGAAGAGTTCCAAAATGAGGTTCTAATTCTGCATTATTCTACAAGATATTTTTAAACTGTGAATCAAAAACATTTCTTGTCTGGTTAATCTTTTACAAAGATCACCTCCTCTCCAGGGTATGTGTACTAGTTGGATCCTACAGAATTCAAGTGTTTTGGGACCACCATTGTGGACCTTCTTAAAGTGTTTGGACAGGGTGTGGTTCTGAAACTTTCTTTTTATGTTTTAGGTATGTTCTTAGTCTAATTTTCAACATACTTTTGTTTGACGCACATTGACTTGTTCCTGCTCGGTATATGTCAGATTTCAACTGGTGTAAGGCTTTAATCTTTGAGATTGAGTTATCAAGGCTGATTTATTGCTCAGACTGGTCAGAGCTAAGAAGAAACACATCCGGCCATCTTTGCTGTCAGGTCCCGCCTGCTTTGCGCTTTTATATCCCTAAAAATCTTAATATCTTTTTTGACGTGTTTCTATTTACATAGTTTGTCAGGTTGATATGTGTTTCTCAACGTCTAATGTAGAAGTACCACTGCAGGGCTAAAATAAATTCCTAAGTACACCTGCCTTGATAGTCATTGCTATTGGGACACTATAGTCAACAGAACAACTCCAGCTTAATCTAGTGATTCTGGTGTCTAAATCCTGTCCCTGCAGGCATTTTAATGTAAACACTGCATTGTCAGAGAAAAGGCAGTGTTTACATTACTGCCTAGGGACACCTGCAGGTTCAGTCACTGAGACGGGCACTAGAGGTGCTTCTTGGGTCAGTGCTGAACTTCCCCCATAGAGATGCATGTCTATAAGAAGACGCTGATTGGCGCAGAGCTGCATTTTGATGCGCAATAGCCTCTCAATAGAAAAGCATTGGATTGGCTAAGATAAAGTTTGATCTTTGCTAATGGGGTGGAGCTTTGTCGGGGCTAGCCGAGACCGGAGTTAATCATCTTATTAACCGGAGGTAAGAGAGGGCCTTAACGGCTAATTAGACCTATAGACACATTTGTACTCCTGTAACTGAAAAGAAATAGCGCCTTAATGTGGTGCAGAATGTCCAGGAGCGGTTATGTCCAAAGATGGCTTATGTGTAAACAGTTATACTGAATATCTTTGGGCATAACAGCTCCTGGACATTCTGCACCACATTAAGGCGCTATTTCTTTTCAGTTACATTTGTTTGGACAGGTATTGGATGAATTCCTGTTTTTGTCCAGTATTTTGAGCAACCCACTATAAGTCAGACTCCCTCAATTCTGTGTGTTGCACTAGGCATACCTGATTTTTACATTTGTACTCCTGACACTTTAGTATTCCTTTAAGACCATCAAGCCTCCCTACCTTTTGGAGTGCTGAAGTAGATTCTTTTCCTGGGGTCTGCATTTCGGCCGAGTAGGCACCTGCCGTAGAGGTAAGCAGTTTTCTACTCTGCCTTAGCGCACAGCCGGCCACCTCCTGGGAGGGTAGTAAGATGGCAAGCCAGACAGCTCTTTGTTATGCACACCCCCAGGAGGGGGGGGGGTAGATTATATTAAACCCACTGTGCTGTATGAGTGAGTGCCCATAAGTTTACAATCTAATCTCATTCTATGCTTGACTACATTTTCCGATTGTATTGCTCCAGAAATTGCAGCTTTGTAAACAGAAAGTGCATATCTACAAAGGTCTAATCTAGCACATTGATTTCTACCACATCAAGCAAGAATAGTGTTAATCTTTCTATTGAAACTCACTCCTGGTTTTTACCAGTTGCATGCCGCTCCCTTCATACCTGCATGCTTATCTCACTGCCCTTTTTATTAAACTATTTATCTAGTGCCTTGCAAAATGTTAGGTTGTACTTTGTACCTGCTTAAAAATGCCATGGTAAGATCTGTAATAAGCAAAACGTATTCTATTACTTATTTTAGATGGATTGTCAACTCTAAAATGGCAAATGGTGGGAAAATGCCTTCACACACTTGAGGTTTTTATTTGGGGTGGAAGGGGGGATACATGAGAAAAGTACATTTCATAGGCCAGTGCTTGCGTGTTTGACTATGTTCTGTTACAGAAGGATCCTGGTGGGCTTGCAAGCTGTTTCTGTATGCTCTGTCTGCATGGACAACTTTGGGGCTCCCATGGACTACTGCATAACTGTATACAGTGCTGGGAATATATAATGGTGTTCCAAGACAGAATAACATGCTAGATAAGGGGAGGCCTGAACCTTTCTGAAGCTGAGGCAGTCCTTAGTGTCAGTCTGGAATATAGAAAGTGGGCTCTTGGACCCATACGAGAACATTTAATGGTTATGTAACTACATTGCAGAACTTTCTGTATTTGGAATCAATGTTGAACAGTTTATAGACTGTTTGTTTGTTTTGGGGGTTTTTTCTGTGTTTGCTCTTAAACCAGTGATTGTAGTGAATTGACAAGAACATACTCCTTCTGTGGGATGAGGAGGGAGACCGACAGATGGAAAATTGTGGCTTTTAGGTCATTCTCCTACTTTGCTTCTTTATTCTAGTTTATTTAAGTTATTTTGTACAAGTTCACTGTCCGTTCTCCACAATTTCCATTTGAGTGAATAAACTCTGGGATGTTCAGTTATTTGAAAGGCTGTATAGATGGTGTTGGTTTCACATGATTACCATGCTTTGTATATAGGATGGCATCATGCACATGGTATCCATTTTCTTTCTACAAGTCTTGTGATGAACATCTTCCTTGCTATCTATTTTTAAATTTCTAATTTCTGTCCTCGTTTCTGACTGCTGCCAAAGGTTGTGGATTTTTTTTTTTTTTTTTACAACTTTGTTTTGTTTCAGCTAATGCTCCTCATTTACATCCACACTCTCTTTATATCAGAATTGGCTATATTTGTCCCCTTCTCCTTGGGTGTATCTGGACTGCAATCTTAATGATGTTCAAGCAGCTATGGTTGACTTTTAGTGCCCTTTTATTTATTTTGTCAAACATTCTTCATTATTGACACATTTTTAGAGCACTACCCAAGTCCTCTGGAATCTGGATCAGAGGGGAAACATTTATAGCCTTACCGTAATGGATCTCTCCTCCACTGCATTGAGCAACAGATCTTATAGCTCTTTCGGAACAAATTACTGCTGTGTTTGGTTATTAGCTCGACAAACCCCGTTTAGGAATCCCAAGTTAAACCACAAAAAACATTAACTTTGCGTTGCTCACAATTTGATCAACAGACCGGCTTATGGATTAGTTTTTTCTCGATTTTTTTTATTTGGTTACTATGGCAACATCAAATCCCCATCCTTTCAACAGCTAAAGGGTTAAATAAGTAAGGAAGAGCTTTATGTACAAATAGAGTGGAAATCACACTTTTTTTCATTTAAATTAAAAGAATGTGCATTTGATCGAATGTTGTTAACCCCTTGAATACCAGTAAGTGACCTTGCATGCACAACCCCAAAAACAAGTGATTTGACCGTCACATCATTAGTTAAAGTAATTGCAGTGACAATTTGCAAATACTTATTTTTTATTCCATGATTTCTCTATCTAGTATTTGTTTTGCTAAAAAGCCTCTCTATTAAAATGTCTTTTTTTATTTCATTGTAGTCGAGAAGACTTCCAGCGAATACCAGAGCTGGCAATCAATCCTCTGGGTGATCGAATTATCAATGCATTTTTTATTGAAGGGTAAGATTATTATTATTATTATTATTATTATTATTATTATTATTATTATTATTATTATTACTTTTAGAATTCTACCATCTTAGTTCATACGTGCTGTGATTCCCAAGTACATGGCCTGGGGAACGCAGTAGTTCTAGCTTGACGTTCAGGATTTGAATTGGCCTGGTTAGATTTGATCACAGGTCCTTTGTCCAGTATGCAGGAGAACATGGTGCACTGCTAGTTGGCCTGTAGAAATATAGTAAATTCAATTCAAAACCTTTTTTCTTTGTGATCTGCTGCACATGTTCAAGAGTACAAAATTAAATGTTCGTGACATATCCTGAGAGACTGTGTGGGATCCTATATAGCGGCGTTTCCCAGTTGGTGTTCCACGGAACCCAGTTTAGGGATTCGGCCCTGGTCGTGTGCCGCTGTTAATTGAGGCGGGCGGCGAGGGAGCACTCTCCCCTGCTCAGCTCCCTCGGTCGCACCGTAGTGATGCCGGAGCCGGAATATGACGGCACTCTGGCCTCTGCATCACTAAGAGGTGCCCGAGGGAGCTGAGCAGGGAGATCACTGCTCCCTCACTGCCAGCCTATCGGCCCAGCAGCATCACTGGACTACAGGGACTGCACACCAGTCGCCCAGCCCACTGAACCCCAGGGAAATAGAGACTCTATGCCAGCACTCCCAAAGGTAGGGAGGCTGGGTGGGGTGAAAAAATTGTCTGTTAAGGAGTTTGTATGTGTGTTTGTCAGTGCGAGTGCATGTGTATGTATGTGTGCTTGTCAGTGAGCATGTGTGTGTATCCGATGGGGTTTATGTGATGCTGCTTTTTGTATTTACGTAATTTTGATGAATAAAATTTCAGCTTCATATTTTGTGATTCCTTTCAGCAATGCCTAGTGACAGAACACTGGCAATCTTGTAAATACCAGAGTAGTGACCGTTCCCATTTAAACGTTTATGAGGTCCATTCTAATAATGTAGAAAACAGAACATTAGAGTAAAGTTCTAACCACGGTGTAATCACCATGGAAACCACTGGAATGTTGCTTTTTATTCTGTTTGTTTCAATGTTAATTGCTTCTTATTCAGATGATTGTATTAATGAAACTGTCATAAACCCCTCCCCTCTTTGTGTGCACATCACATCATCTTCCTTCTATAAATGTTTATCTCCCATTTCTCCAGAGAGGACCAGGTAAATTTCCGTGGGTTTATGAGAACGCTGGCTCATTTCCGGCCAATAGAAGATAATGAAAAGTCCAAAGATGTGAGCAGTCCTGAACCTCTGAACAGTCGAAACAACAAATTGCTGTGTAAGGATCATGTTATTTCTAAGCCTTTCCATGCCATCTAGCAGTCTTGTTTCTGACATCAAACATTTAGACCTAATTTATTTACACCTCGCTAACTACTTACTCTAAAGAGCATGGAATTTCATCTATACATTGTGCTAGCAGTTTTACTAGAAAATGCGTAGATTGGGAAGGGGGGAAAAACGGCCTAATAAACATATATTTAAAAATAGACGCTATTCCAGAGAAATGATTTACAGGGATAGCAGAAGGGACCTCCCACAAGAGGTCTGCTTTTCACCTGTGGTTGCTGTGGTAACTCCCTAGCTATCGTTGGCTAACGAGGATAAGAGCAGAGTGACGTCCGTTCATACTAGGGATTATTTATTTTTTTAGAGCCGATACCAATATTATGTACATTTACCATTTTGAAAAAATAAAAATAAAATAAACTATTTCTACAAAAATCTACTGTTAACTGAACATGTTTATTATTATATTTGTTTTATTAAGGTAAATGCACAAAATATACATGCCAGTCAGAATTTTTTGTTTTCAAGAAAGTGTGTGTGTGTGTGTGTGTGTGTGTGTGTAGTGGATGCAGTGAGAGTATTTGATTAGTGAATGCAGTGTGTTTGTGTAATGTGTATATAATGAATGTTAGAGTGTGTGTGTGTGTTTTAGTCCCCCCTCCCTGCTTCTTACCTGGCCAGGTAGGGAGGATATGGCATTACCTGGGGGCCCAGCCCTCTCTTGCTTACCTTCAAGGCAGCTTCCCTGTCTAACTCTTGCAGCCTGCGTGCTGCGCGGAGCGTTGCCCTGGTAACCTGTGGCACCGCTCTGATGGCCGCGGGACTTGCGAGATTTAGACAGGGGAGCTGCTGGGCCCCCCAGAACTCTGATGGTGGCCCTGGTCTGCAATATCGGTATCTTTATTGGCCAATACCGATATTGCTGAAAATACAGAATATTGGCCAGAGTGTTAATCGGTCGATCCCTAGTTCATACGCTGGCAATGAAGCCGGTGTGTCTGTGTCATGGAGGAGATTTGCGCTGCTTGGGGAACATTCCCAGAGCAGGACAAACCAATGAGGAGTGATGGCGGACTGGAGGTGGGTGTTACAGAAATATTGTGGTGGAGGAACTGGTCAGGTAGGTGCCTGACTGGTTCCCTTTAAATACCTTGTCTTGTGGGGTTTTGTACCAACCACCAACCTTTTGTGATCCATCTACTGTTTGGCCGATCTTTTGTAAGTATAACTTTTCTTCCTCTCCGTTTCAGTTGCTTTTCGACTATATGACCTAGACAAAGATGACAGGATCTCCAGAGATGAGCTTTTGCAGGTACATTGTCATGTATTAGTGGCTGCGTATAAACACTTGAACATTAGTGTATTTACAGTTGCCATAGTAACCCTAATATTGGTATTGCGCAAAATGTAATTAACTGTTTTTCTTCTTCCACTTCTTCTATAAGGTCCTGCGCATGATGGTGGGAGTGAATATATCGGATGATCAGTTAGGAAGCATTGCTGATCGTACTATTCAGGAAGCTGATCAAGATGGAGACGCCGCTATTTCATTTTCAGAATTTGTCAAGGTCTGGTAACTCTGTGTATTTAGTTTTGAATATAGCTTCAATTAATTGGGTTAAAAACTACTAATGTAAATCTATCTTTATATTTATTTGGGGGAGGTCTATTAAAGAGACACTGCAGGCTGGAGCTGACCCATCAATTTAAATTGGTTTGCATTCTATAAATAATGTATTATAAATATGAGAAATGTACTCCTGTTTGAAGTTTGCAGTTTCTAGTCTCCTCCAATGTGACAGTGACCACAAAACAGGAAGTTCCAATCATAATGTTCATTTATTTTAATTGAACTACTGAGCTTATCCCAAAATCACAAATCGCTAATAATTACACTAGAAAGTATCTTGGCTCATTATTCTGGTCTCTGGTGTCTGAACTCTCAACTATTTAACGCAGGAGTTAAAATGCAGATATTATATCCAAAAAGAGTCTTGAGTTCAAGGTGAAAAGCAGTTTTATTGGCTCATCGCGTACAGAACTCTGTGTGTGTGTTGATCCAATAAAACTGCTTTGCACCTTGAACCCAGTTACTGCCTGAAGCCTCCTTTTGGATGTATTATATGCGAGAGATTTGCGGTTCCTTCATCTTAGCACCCCCTGGCTCCTGGAATGAGGGCAGTCCTTTTCTTGTGATAAAATGCAGATTTGTCTCTAGCTGTTTAATATGGCACTTTGCAGAGATTAGATATGCGACAGGCACTGTGATATACACTGGGAACTCACACTGTGAATATCTGTCATCATACTGTGTAGGAGTAGGTCTGCCTCTGGTATGCTCATAGGAAGGGTCTCTGTGACTTGTGTGTCGTCTGACATGATCATTTCTTATTTTTCAGGTATTGGAGAAAGTTGACGTCGAACAGAAAATGAGCATTCGATTCTTACACTAATCTCGAAGACTGGACATCATGCTGTAAAAACAGAGAGTTTTCTCAAACTTTGCACAGTCCGATCCTATAATGTTTTGTGACCTTACTTACAGAAAACTCTAGTTCATTAGACAGTGCGAAAATCACGTAATTTGACAAAGAAAGACGTGCTGCTTATTTAATCATTAAAAAAAAAAAAAAGTATAGGGTCTCACTCAAATTAATTATTATACTTTGCAAACTTGTTGTTTTTATCCTAAGATACCCAATTTGAAAATTTCTGTGATTTATACCATGCTGGTAAGTGGGAGAAAATCATAGGGGGTCACTTTTTCCAGAAGGTTGAGAATCAAGAGTCGTACCTGATTTTTGATGGTGAGCGGGGAGGGGGGTAGTATTTTATAATGTGTGTTCTGTTCTAAAAGGTTGTGCAAAAAATGTTAAGCAATAGGAGTCACCAAAGAAATGTGCCTGTTGCTTCCGCAGGTTTCATGGTGATTGCCCTCCTTATCGTATTTTAGACCAATTTTTAGAACCAAACACTTTTCTAAATCTCTGGGGTGGACATGCTTAATGATATAGCTGGTGGGGTCAAAATATAATCTCTGCTTTCTATATCATTGTATCGAGACCTCTGTCACCCCGTTTTTGCCACTCCAAGACCAGATGGTAAATTGTGTTTTAACTAAACCTCTAAGGAGGTACTGATGTTTTGGACAGATTAATATTTTAATGTAATGTAACTATAAAATAATGTAAGATATTGCTAAAATAAAGATGTATGCATCCTATTTCTCGAACTGTATACCAATTCCCAAATCCAGTGAGTTATCCAAGCGTTTAAGTGGATTGCCTTTGTATTTTGGGTTGCACATTGTGTGTGTGTGTGTGTGTGTGTGTGTTTATGGTTTGTTTCTCTTACATAAAATTGCTTAGCACAGAGTTCTATTGCTGCCTTAAAATATCAGCTATACTTGAATGTGTGTTAAAAGCCTGATGAGAAATTCAAAGACATTTTGTAAAATGTATGAAATCTGCATATTTTTACTCGTATTCTTCTAGAATTTTTTTTTCTTGTAGCAGACTGGAGAGCTGCCATTAATTGTATTCTTACCTGTGTTTTCCAGTCGTGAAATGTTGTTTGAATTCCAGCTCCATTTTTGATTTGTGTTCAGGTTTAGTGTTTTCAGCCAATCAGAATACAAGGTCAGGTTATATTCTCCCAGGTCACACTGCAAATTGCTTGTGGTCTGTAAAATACAGAACATCTCTCAACACTAAAGGGTAAAAATTATTTTTACATAAATATGCATACATCTGTGTGCGGTGTGTGATATAACATCCATTTATGTTAAGGACCTAGCTTACACTTGGTTTATTGAGCCATATTTAAGTCCTCTTTGATCAGAAGCACCACTTATCATACCAAAGACATTGCTCACTGATTGGTCAATACCAGCTTAGTATGAGTCTTTAAGATCCCCAGCTTTTAACACAATACCAAAATTGGATAAGTGGTGCTTATGACGAGGCTTCAAGATGGTTGCCCTCACGGACTAAGGGTCCGCCAAGAGATGTTTTGAAAAGTGTAATTTACTTACATAATTATTACAATTATTATTGTAATGCAACATGTATTACACATAAACGCTTATTTGGAATAATAATTCAAACTGATGTCAGTTTTACTTTAATATTCATACTAATAAAACATTTATTTGTTTTATGTGCAGAACTGGTATGACCATTTTGAGTATTGTATTAACTGCTTTCTCTCCAATTTAGATTGCAATATGTATGGTGAATTATATATTTATTAGATCTAGATGAGTGTACAATCCTAAATAATTTCAAAGCGGATTCTTGACATAATCCATTAGGCAAACTTATGTTTAGTGTGGATTCTCCAATTTAACAAATTTAACCCCTTATGGACTGAGGCAGTTGTACAAGTTTAGATCAAAACAAAACCTTGAATTTGTCAATCGTACTTCACCTCTTTCATATTAAATGCACCCACACTTGTATATCATTTTGTTCAGGAGAAACGGGGCTTTCATTTAACATCAAATCTGTATATATTAAATATAATTTAATATCAATAAAATTATAAATAAATGTGAGATTAATTTTTTTTTGTTCTGCATGGCATTTTAACTGTGTATGTCATAATGCTGTTACTGCAATAAAGTACACATATTTGTATTCAGCGATTTATCGTAAGAGTAAAACAGTACTCCCAATGTACAGGTTTTATGGTATTTTAGAAAGTTACAGAGTGAAACATAGCATGTTACATTTCTCAGTATACAAAGTGGCTACTAAAAAAGACTGGACATACCCCATTTTGCACCTTGGGTTGTCTACTTTTGCAAATGGTATGCCATTATGGGGGTAATTCTCATTCCTGGGCTACCACCCTGTAACTTTAAAAACCCCATAAAACCTGTACATGGGTGGTACTGTTATACTCTGGAGACATAGCTGAATACACATATATCAGTGTTTCAAAACGGTAAAACGTATCACAACAACTGTGTCGTTTGTGAGTGAAAAATGCAAAAAACTGCATTTTCACTGATGATCTCATCGCTGTGATATGTTTTACTGTTTTGAAACAACACTATTGGTGTTCAGCAAAGTTTCCCGAGTAAATCCATACTACCCATATACCGGTTTTATAGTGTCTTGGAAAGTTACAGGGTTAAATATAGGATGGAAGTTTGGATTATAACAGCTAAGTTTAACTTTAAAGTTTTGGAGTCCCTGGAGTGCTACCTGAATACTATTTTGGTCTATACACTGAACAAAATTATAAACGAAACACTTTTGTTTTTGCGGTTGTGAGGTCGGTTGGATGTATTGCCAAATTCTCTGAAACTCCTTTGGAGACGACTTATGGTGGAGAAATGAACATTCCATTCATGGGCAACAGCTCTGGTGGATATTCCTGCAGTCAGCATGCCAATTGCACATTTTCTCAAAACTTGCAACATCTGTTGCATTGTGCTGTGTGATAATACTGCACATTTTAGAGTGGCCTTTTATTGTGGCCAGCCTAAGGCACACCTGTGCAATAATCACGCTGTCGAATCAGCATCTTGATATACCACACCTGTGAGGTGGACGGATTATTTCGACAAAGTAGAAGTGCTCACTAACACAGATTTAGACAGATTTGTGAACAATATTTGAGAGAAATAGGCCTTTTGTGTACATAGAAAAAGTCTTAGATCTTTGAGTTCAACTCATAGTTACTGCATGCACAGTGTTATTTTCTCTGCTGTCGGGTTTAATTCTCCTGCAGCACGTAGTTTGTTAAACAAAAGAAACGAAAAGCTAATGCATTTGGTATTTGCCCTTTTGTTTCATTTATATTTTGTGTGTAGGGCTTTAGTTTACGTTTTAGTAAACGAATACGAAAAAAACACGAATTTTCGGACGAAAACGAATGCACATGTCTAATTCTCACTACTTCATTTCTAACTATATCTCCCATCCTGATCTGGGTTTTTTTTAAGTTGGTGCATTTATAGTCTTTTATTTTATGTTCCTTTTTTTTTATTATTCTTTATTTTCATAGTGCATAGATTAACATACAGGCTTGTCATGCTACGACAGCAGTCACGAGCATTTTTTTTTTTTTTTTTATCATACAATTAGATATAGTGTCATAGCATGTGAGAAATTGCATATTTTTTATGGTTTCAATGCACACGGTTAAATAAAAATACTAGCAATCATGAGTCAAATATATGGTAGCTGGTTAACATCATTAAACAAGGGATGAACAGACAAACTAGTATCACGGCTTGTTAAAATGATGTGAGTGATCTAGCATTGGTGTGTGATGGTTAGAAACTGTAAATAATAAGTCCGCTTTGTGGCCATTGGGTACTGTGTGCGCCGTGAGAGCTGATATAAAGAGTAATTGTGTCCCTGCAGGAGAACAGGCATACATTACAGGGTATCCCTTCATCCTATGCTGCAGATGGGCCATCGAAGCTTGGTAGGCTTCATGTTCAGCAGGGTAGCCTTATTCTTCCTCAGGAGCGGTTGTGTGTTGGGCCAGGCTCCCTGTATGCAGACCGCAGTAGGTGAGCTGCACCAGCCTTTCCACCCTCCAGAGCCCAGGCCTTAAGGGAAGCCCAGGCTGCATGTCCAGGGACTTTCCATTTGGCAGGGTTACGACCTGTGGGCGCTCCACGCGTCTGGGTGCCTGGGCGGCTTGTTGGCTGTGTCTCCGGGTAGGCCCCCTGCTCAGTGCAGGAATCGTGTACCCTCTCGATGGGTCAGCGACCCATGTGGGTTTCGGCTAGTGATGCGGTGATAGAACGCCTGGCATAGTCGCTGGAACCGGGATTCAAAATCTTCCCACCAGGTCTGGATGTCTGCTCCTTCTTTGGTATGTGGAGGCTGAGGCTTGGTGGCCATCTTGTGCTCACCATGCGGTCCTCAGGAATGGGAGATTTTGTAGTTGCATGTAGGTGCTTTTCCCCAGTGGAGACCGGGATATCCCCCACCCGTCCAGAAGGGGGTGTGATGGGTTATCCGGTTTGTCGCTTGTCATTGAGTGTCCCAGGTGGGGAGATTGGCCGTCAGTCTTGTTAGGCCTCGCGGCCAGGCGGTTGGAATCTGTGTTGGAGTGGCTGGCTGCATAACTGCTCATGCCCCCGTTCTGCTTGGTGGTAGGATGCTGCTCGGGCCAAGTCGTTTTTTGGGTATTATAGGGCAAGAAATGCTGATATTCAACCCTGTTTTGCAGGAGCTGAGCTGAGACACGTCTGGCTGTCAGGCCCTGCCCCCCTTTATGTTCATTCTTTATTACCTTTTTTGTTTTTGTTTCGCTAAGTGTTTCTTCTTTCACTGATAGTCTCATAAATTTATGTTCACTGGCTTCCTGTATCCTGTAGGAGTCAATTCAAAGTATGAACCCATACCTATAAAGCACTCAATTCTAGCCCCTCTTATATCTCTTCACAGATCCGCAGGTATGCCCCTTGTTGGTCTCTCCGATCTGCCTGTAACCTCTACCTCACATACCTGTCTCTTGCTCTCTCCTAAAGGGCAGCACTCTACTCTCTCCTCCAGCTCTGCTTCACTCCCACCTTATTTGATTGCTATTTCCTGCCCTAATGTGTTTTATACCCCACCTCCTATAGACTGTAAGCTCATTTGTGCAGGGTCCTCTTCAACCTATCGTTCCTGTAAGTTTTCTTGTAATTGTCCTATTTATAGTTAAATCCCCCTCTCATAATATTGTAAAGCGTTCCTGCAGTGCCCCTTCCCATGTTTCTGAAGGGGTTAAAACCCTTTCAGTGACTTACCTGAATCCAGTGCCGATTCACACTTTTTAAGTTTTAAGAACCTGGAAGTCCCTCTAGTGGCTGTCTGATAGACAGCCACTAGAGGAGGACTTAACCTTGCAAGGTGAATATTGCAGTTTATAAAAACTGCAATAATTACACTTGCAGGGTTAAGGGTGATGGGTGTTGGCACCCATACCATTCCAATGGGCAGAAGTGGTCTGGGTGCCTGGAGTGTCCCCTCTAAACGATTGAAGACTAGGGGAGAGTTTGATTGCGGTAGGCAGGCTATTCCATAGGAAGGGAGCCGCCCGCGAGAAGTCCTGCAACCGTGAGTTGGTCATCTCCCCAAACAGTGCAGAGAGAGGAGACAAAACTGTGACTGTCCCACTGAATCCAGGACTGTTGGGAGGTATGTATATAAAACCCATGTATTAAATCTTATAGCCATTACACCTGGGATGTTGTAGAGTGTAAGCTCTTGGGGTACTCTGCCAGCTTTTATAACTGCAGTGTGAGTGCCAGGCAGTGCCAGCCTGCCCAGGGCAATATCTACACACTGTATGGAGAAATACACTCCTAACATTCCATGCCACTCACTTCCAGCCAATCACAGAGGATATGCTAATATCTGCGTCAGCCAGCGCACGCCCCCATCCAACTGAAGCCCTGCTCTCTGTCCTGACCCCGCCCATTGACCTTCCCAGCGGGGGCGTGGCTAGCCCTCTGCGTCATGCGAGCTCTCGGAGGCCAGAGACTCGCTCAAGATGGCGGAGTGAGGAGGAAGTGAGAGGCCAAGCTGGGCCCCGGGATCCCAGGGGCCCCAGTGTGCGCGAGCAGGGAACCCTCACCGGGAGCCGAGTTATCCTCATTGGATTTATCTGTAATGCTGGGCAGAGATGGTAAGGGATTGGAATAATGGGACTGTAAGGGGGGCTGTGTGCCAGACCGAGGGTGAATAATAATAATAATAATAACAGCTTCTAGAATCCCATGTTACTATAATATTAATAATAACATAGCTTCTACAATTCCATGTTACTATAATATTAATAATAACATAGCTTCTAGAATTCCATGTTAATATAATATTAATAATAACATAGCTTCTACAATTCCATGTTACTATAATATTAATAATAACATAGCTTCTAGAATTCCATGTTAATATAATAATAACAGAGCTTCTAGAATTCCATGTTAATATAATAATAACAGAGCTTCTAGAATTCCATGTTAATATAATATTAATAATAACATAGCTTCTACAATTCCATGTTACTATAATATTAATAATAACATAGCTTCTAGAATTCCATGTTAATATAATAATAACAGAGCTTCTAGAATTCCATGTTAATATAATAATAACAGAGCTTCTAGAATTCCATGTTAATATAATATTAATAATAACATAGCTTCTACAATTCCATGTTACTATAATATTAATAATAACATAGCTTCTAGAATTCCATGTTAATATAATAATAACAGAGCTTCTAGAATTCCATGTTAATATAATAATAACAGAGCTTCTAGAATTCCATGTTAATATAATATTAATAATAACATAGCTTCTACAATTCCATGTTACTATAATATTAATAATAACATAGCTTCTAGAATTCCATGTTAATATAATAATAACAGAGCTTCTAGAATTCCATGTTAATATAATAATAACAGAGCTTCTAGAATTCCATGTTA